TGTAAACTCTATAACTTTGCAAAGAAAGATCGTGTAGAGCTGGGAGATGCCTCCTTTTAATCAGAACTTTATGGACTACAATTACGCCTCATTATGAAAGCTTTTGGTTGTTCTTTAGAGTTTCTCTAAAACTGGTTTTCCAGAAGACCGGTCTTTGAAGACCTAGCAGCAGCATTCATGGTGATATTCGGAATCAGCATCGTCGACTACCTATAGTCCACTCGGTTTCGTTGAAAAAGCGATTTATCAGTTGGGGTACTTCCCTCGTTAGTAAAGTAAAAGGAACGGAACTATTGAACTTTTTCCCTTCGGATAGAAAAGCAGAGTTATTTTCGTTCAAAATAAAATAAATCCGACCTCAAAACATTCGATTTTGGCCCAGTTGGAACAAGTCTACCAAGTGCCCCCACTACGTGCCCTGGAGACGCTTTTAGCGTTCTTTTGGAACGCGTTTTTGTTGCCTAAGAACGCTTTTTTTCTGAACGCGTTCTTTTAAGAGAAAAACGAATTCCAAAAGAACACTAAAAGCGTCTTTAGGACGCGTTCTATTTTTTCGAGAACACGTTCTTGGCCGTTCTTTTATTGCAACGTTATGAAACACTAACAGAAGACTATCGAGATATAATAATTAATAAAATTGGCAATCATTATTTAGCTAATCATCCGTTACTGACTGACGGATAGTGTTTTATCTCTCCAATATGGCGATCCTATTATCAATAATATGTTGTAAATTTGTTGCTTTAAAGAATCGAACAACACAACAATGCTACTGCTGCTTGATGACCATTTAACAGCTGAACAACTTCTGCAGTTTCTACAGTTTTACATGAAATCTGTTACGTTAAACCCTAAGACTGTCATCCGAAGCGAATCTTATTAAGGTTCGGCTGTCGTAGTCCATTGTAGACACAGTTCTCCTAATGAGTCTTGAAGATGAGTTCTACATCGGTAAGGGACCATGCTGAAAACTGGCGTTGATAAGCCTGTATACTAGTTGTCCGAGGAACAAAGATATTAGCCTATAGGTTTAACTGAGTCATGGTTTGGTTGACCTGTTGAGAGATGATTGTTTGTTTAAGAAAATTCAGGGATAAATCATTGATAAAGATTATATAGACGCTCGGATGGATTCCTGACAGGAACTCCACTAGGACTAGAACATATGATCCTATATGAACTGTCGCATTTCTGTATGAAGGATAACTAGCAAACCGAGATAGAGCTTCATCTAGCATCCATTCTTCTTCAGGATTTCTATACTGGAAGCGTTTTATAAGTTTTACTTAGTTGCATTTTCTTACGAAAAAAGCTTATTTAATTGGAATATAACGGGTACTACAAAGTAGAATTTGTGAGTGAATGTTATTGATGATGAATGTTGTACATAAGTTTGAGCTTCTTGATATACTACTGATGAAGGTGATTGTGATTGCCATATTTTTAATATTTTAATGTATTTAAGCTTAGCGTTATCCGATTGATTTAATTGAACATAACATCGAGCTTGTCCTAAAATGATATTAGCTCGATCGGGTGTTGTCATACAGGATAAATTATATAATTGTAATGCGATCGATGGAAATAATGATATATTAATATTTGATTTTTGTGTGACCGACGCATAATTCAGATGATATTGGCTGAGAGGTAAAAGTGGCATTTGTTTATAGATCATTAACAGAAAAAATGCCATCAATTCTTTTGATCTGAAATTAGGTAATGGCGGCGAAGGTGGTTGAATAATATCCATTGTATCTTCTATTATGTTTGCTTTTACTATTGAATTTAAACATTGCTGATACAATTGTTGATGAAAATAGTCTAATGATTCTAACTGATGAAGTGTCATATCAATTAAGGTTGACCAATAAACAGGAGCGCCATTCAGAAAGAGTTTTAGTTGGTTCAATCGATCAATAGATTTGCTCAGATTTTGTTGCAATTGATGGTGACTATTATTAGATAATTTATCAAGCAATAATAGACGAAGATAATTACCTTAAAATATTCAACGATAGATGATTAGATAAAATAAGAAGAGTATCTCAGGTTAACGTGAGTGAAAGGCCGGATGCTACTATCCATTTCAAAACAAAAAGGCCTCACGTAGAAATAATCTAGGCGAAAAAATAAGACTCAGATCATATCTGATCTTGTAAAGTACCAGCAATTCCAACTTCAAGAGAAAATTTTTTTCTAGTGAATTTGTGCATGGCTGGACAAAACCTGATGAGCTAAGAAAAAGTGGTTTTTAGCTTTTGAAAAATTATTTTATAGCCGAAAAACTTGAATGTTCCATTTTTTCGAGAAGCTGTTAGTTTTCATAAAATTCAATCGTTGCTCGTTCACAAGTCTTTTCGACTTTGAAACTATACTTTTCGAGTTTAGCATTAAAAACCGAATATAAAAATTATGTTTAATCCAATTCAAACTCAATTTCAAACTAAGATTTTCACCAAAAGCCGAGTATCAACGAAAGATTTTGAAATATATATCATTCGACTTACGAGCGAACCTTTCGAGGTGATTAAACGCTTTTTCAATCTAGTGGGTTATAGGTTATCGGCCATGCTAATTCTAAATATGACCATAGAGGTTTGCCCTTAGCCCATCGAAGATCCGGTTTTCTAGAAGACCAGTTTTTCAGAAACTCTAAAATATAACCAGAACCTTTCTTAATGAGGCATGATTCTATCCCACAAATTTCTGATTAAAATGAGACATCTGCTGTTTTGAGCTGACAATGAACACTCAGGGCTTTACTTGTAAATTCCATAATTTGCAACGAAAGGTCGTGTAAAGCTGGGAGAGGTCTCATTTTAATCAGAAATTTGTGGGATAGAATCACCCCATCTCAGAGTGAAAATTCTCTTTTTCGAAAAAAATGCTTTCCTTCTTGGGATATACGGAAAATGCTGAAAACCACTTTTCGAAAAAAACATTTTCACTCTGAGATGGAGTCTGGAGTATCAGTGATAGAAATTTCGACTCGATCGGACCATTTTTTCGAGGACTCATAATGTGATTGGCTGAAAACTGAAGTTTTCCAGAAAACCCATAGAAGATCATGTCACAAAAATACATCGATTGTCTTTTTCGCTCTTCTATCTCTGGTATAAATTTGAACTCGATAGGACGCGTGCTCCGCTTTTGGCAACAAGGTGAAAAAAGAGGGAGGGAAGTACCCTTAACTGACACCGGTGCATACCTATTTCCACATAAAAATTTAGGATTATTCCATAATAATGTTCGCATGTCTAGGATAATTTGCACTTGACAGTTCTTATGCTATATATACAGTATAGAAAAAGTAGTCCAGCCATCATCTTTGGAATACTATTATACGTTTGGACTGTCATACACACAGGGTATCGCTTGTCTTACACTTTGAATAATACATTTTGGACTGTTAATCTATTTATACTTTGGAGATATGCTCTATTTTTTCAGAGATTCTGTAAAAGCTACTTCGCAGAAACATGTTTAAACTCTTTTACCTTTATAAAACGACGCTCTTGGTGCTCGGACGCACACCGGTACGTATCTATTTTTTTTATCAAGTGTTATTCAAATAAAAAGCCATCCGCATTATATTTTGAAAGTGATAGTAGGTAGGATAGTGAAAAGTGAAAGCAGTAGTCACTTTTAATCTAGTAATGAATTACACATACCCAAAATATATCCAGTTTCACTCCATGCAAGTCGTCTAATATCAGTAGTATTTAAAAATGGATTATAATCAATATTATTAAATGATTGTAATATATGTATATAATTCTTTATTTGATCTTTATTATACATATACCAATAATAAGTTTCAAATATTTGCCTACCAAACATACGATAAACAAAGAATAATGGAAATGCTTGTTGATGCTGTTTAACTATTGAAATCATTTGTTGTAAATTAGAATTTGCTTGTTTATATAAACCGACTTGTAACTGACTATAACTTAACCATTCAATTGAATGATAACGATTCTCAATATCACAATCAATCATCGATGTTAAATGTAATAAGAATTGACATAATGTTATACTGGCATTAATTGCTAATTCATCCGCTAAAATAAATCGTGGATTTTTAAAGAAATTGCAGGTCTAAATGTGCCAGGGTTTATAAAGGTCATCGTGAGTTTTTAATGGAAATCCACGATGTAAAATTTATAGAATAGATAGCATAAGAGTAACACTACTCGATGATATAAGGAACAATAACTAATCTCTCATACAGGTCACTTGAGGAGCGAAATTTTAATACCAGAGTTCAAATATTTTGAGTAACTTATGTTTTATTTTTACTATATTTGTACAAAATTTTAAATCGACAGTTTTAGCGAAGCAATCTCGTAAATCCCTTTCGACTCAGACTATTTTCATCATGTAGACTATAGTGAGCAGTGAAAAGTCCAACTTTGGGTTGAGTTTATGGAGCATTAGCGTGGAGTTGGAATATTTTCAAGTTTATTTCAAAAAACTGAATTTTACTGGCAATTTCTCGGTCAAAAGAAATCCAATCGAGCTGATATTTTCATTGCGGCTAGTAGCCATAGTAGTCATAATGATCTGAAAATTTAAGCTCTATTGCTCACTGGCTCTGCGAAATATATAAATTTCAAAACGTTTTCGTTAAATTGACTTTCTACCTAATCGTCTGCTCCATAACGGAAGCTTCGATCGAGCTGATATTCTGAATGTGGACTTATATTTGGTCCATATATAACAAAGTTTGGCCTCGTTCGCTATTCTCTGACGGAAGATACAAAATTCTCTTTCTTAAGTAATCGAGGTGCGTGTGTCGTATTCAGTCAGTCAGCGCTATCTTTTCGAGCATAAAAGAATGAATGCAGCTTATCGCATTGCTGAATTACTGTCCAATCGAGTTTCTCGGCAACTTCCTCATGCTACTTCAACGTCTCATGTTCACGAAGACAAGATTGCTTTGCAACTGTTCCATTTTCTCGAATCTATTCTGAGAAGTAACTGTATTCTCACAACGAGTCGACACTCGACCATAGCACATCGTTGTGAAGTAGGTGGCATGACCATCCATTTCTGCTCTCGATTTCGGCTATGACGATGCACATCCTGGACAACTTCAAAGGATGATCGATGTTTGTTTCAATTCCAAACATGGGTACTATGATATGGGAGGCTGTGAATCTTTTTCCTTAGCTCAATTGAATTTCTCTTGGCCAAGATATCAAGGATTTACCTGTAAATTCAGTTTTTTGAAAACAAACTTAAAAATATTCCAGCTCCGCTCCCAAGCACTATGAATCCGAACCAAAGTTGATCTTTTTCACTGCTCACTTTGGCCTACATGATGAAAATAGTCTGAGTCGAAAAGCGATTTATCGCTTCGAGAGGTATCCTGATAGATTGGGATTTTTCTATGATCAAAAAGGGGGTCATCCCACAATGCTGTCTTTATACTCACCTAGCACAGCTTTATACCAATAACCTAACCTCATCCAAATATGTGAGGGCATATGATGACCATGACTTGATGTTGTCACAATTAATGGGTATTTAATTGCATAGGGTATAGCTTGAGCATACAAGTGTTCTTCTGGCACATCATAAACATGAATGAGATAATGTAAAACACCTGGATGATTTGGTTCCACAAGTAATAATTTTTTTAGTATTTCTCGTGCCATATTCAAATTCATTCCTAAGTTCATGAGTGATAGAGAGTACCATACTTTTATTCGTTATCTTGTGGATATTTTAATGTCATATTTTGTATGGATAACATAAAGTTTAATTCACCTTGACGAATATTAGATGGATAAGCAAACCATTGATAAATTGTATTTAAATAATCGCGATCTTTTTCTTTTAGAGTTAAATTTAACTTTTCTATTTGTTCATAGACAAGTAATGCTGACTGGATATCGATATGTGACCATAACGTATGTTTATATGACATCATTTTACCTAAATATGAGTAAATGAAATTTGGGTTTTGTCTTATTGCATTATCGAATGCATGTCGCGCTAGGTCATACTGGAATGAGTGTAAACATAAATAACCAATCTGAAAATGTTTTTGTGCTAATGAAACTATGGACGATGTATTAAATGGTATAGAAAATACAGTTTCAACCAAACCTAATTTCACACATCTTTCCCATAATTCTAAATCATTAGTGGTATTCTCTTCTACTGTAAATGAAATAAAAATAGTTATTAGAAGAAGAATTACTATGACTGGTGTAGTGGTTCTCTGCATGTTTTTCTTTATGATGATCATTAGAGCTTGTTCGCTAACGTCCTTATATTTTCTTCTTCTAAAAACACTACTATCGGTTCGTACAACCACATATATTGTACCAAAAAAAGATAAAGAACAACAAATATCTATAAATTTATCGAGTTATAAGCAGGAGGAAGAGAAAAAACACAAGAAGAAAATAGCATTCTTATACCAGAGATTCCTGATATAACAATAATATAAAGGAAAGAGAACCCATTGCCTTTTGGCCTTTTTTTAATGTTATCATATGGGTTAAAAGAAATAGAATGTCATGTAAATACATCTATTAGATACATTTATCCCAACAGTTTCGGTTAACTATAACTGTGTACTGCTTCGAGTATGCAAGATTTCTTTAAATGATTAGTTAATCAATGTGCTCTATTGGCGAAGTATGGTCCTAATGCATTCTTCATACCCCTCTTTCTCCTTGTCTGTTTTGGTCGAACCGAGTTTACGTCGTTTGATATCGTGATTATCCTATTCGTCTTCGTACAACCTGTTTTTTCGTTTCCTAAAAAAAACTCCATAAAAGCACGTCACAGAGCTGGGCAACTCCAAATTCGAAGTTGGAGTTAAATCCGGGGTTGAGGACTTTTTTGGTGGAGTTGGAGTTGAGGTTTTAGTAGGTTGGAGGGTGAGGGTGGTAAATTCGGAAGTTCTTTGCGCTTTCCTGCCGGATAAAACTCAAAAACGTTAAGAGTCCTGCTAAAAACCGAAAATTCTTCTTTACAAAAGATAATCGGAGTTGAACGGGAATTGAGATTTTTGTTGAGGGAGTTGGAGTTCGAATTGAAAAATTTTGCGCGGAGTTCGAGTTGGAAATTTGAAAACGGAGTTGGAGTTGAAAGTCGGCGTAGTTACCCAGTTCTAGCACGTCAAACAGGACCTGAAATTCTACGTGAAGGCACCATCATTCAAGCAAAACGCACTATTAATAGTTACACTCACTGATAAACTACTCGATTCACCAGCGAACTTAGCCAGCTAATTGAGTAAAAAAATCGAGTTGACTACTTGCATCGAGTAAAGTTGATTTACTGGATGCAAAGGTCGATAGTTCGACTAATGGATAAGAGACTAATGGATAAAAATTTGTGGGCCGAAATTCATGTAACCCGCACTTAACCACTGTTCTTTTAGCTTTACCATGTATTCAAAGTCAAGTTTGGTAAGATATCAGCGTACTGTTTGTCTTGTGACTGTATTGGCTAATGAACTGTTCAAATCTCTTCTGATTTTGGTGGCACTAAGACGCTTATGCCGTCTCACCAATTTCTCGTCCAGATCGCTTTTTTCGTCAAATATACCATTTTTTTTGTGACGGCGTGAATTTATCAGTTAACTTTGAGAAATGTTTACTTTTACTAATGAGGGAAGTACCCGTTCAACTTCGATTATCTTTTGTAAGGAAGAATTTTCGGTTTTTAGCAGGATTATTAACGTTTTTGAGTTTTAGTTTAGAGATCCGGTTTTAAAATCGGGTCTCTAAACTAAAATTGGGCCCAAACCAATGTGATATTCGGATTCAGCACACTCGATTACCTATTGTCCGCCAAGCTTCAGGCCAAAAGCGTTTAAACAGTTGGGGTACATCCCTCGTAAGCCTTAATTCTCTTAATGCCTTATTTCTAACAGAGTGAAGTTTAGCTGTGGAAAGAGAAGATGGTTTCGTTTTAATCTGTGAAAAAAGTTTGTCTCTCTTACGACGTGCTACATAATAATTTTTACTTGGTCCAAAAACTCTGATTTTGATTTAAGAATTTTGAGGGGTACATGATTTTCAATACCCTTTTCAACAAGTACTTCAAAATCACTTACGAAGCCATTAATGTCGTCTGTCCAAGTAATGTGACATGTAAATAATAATAATCAATAACAATAGCTTATGGTAGTGATACATCCAATACATTTTCTAATGTACTTTCATCTAAAAAGTGCCCATAAATATTTGTTTTGTTCAGTTTTAATAGATTCTTTTAAATATTGTTTTGTGCCACGCATTACTAATTATTGCTGATGATAATATTGGCGTTTATTACCAACATGTTCACCTTTTCGATAACAAAATCAACAACAATACTAACCATCATGATCAATAAAATTTAAGATTAATTTTAATGCTGGACAATCACCGGTAATAGAATATATTTTAATTTATAATCCAAACAAATAATTATTTTATTTCACAACAATATTTAAAACAGAAAAATGAAGGCACGTATAGGCATCAACGTACATGTGTTGGATGATTTTCGATTATTTCTAATAAAAGATAATGTGGAAGTCATACGATGTGAACATATTGTTGTTGTTTTTCTTATACATAATGCGACTGCTGTTACCGTTAACGATGAATAACTAGTACGCCCAACTAAATGACCAATCGTTTCTTTTGATTGTAAATAAAAATATATGTTATGGTATATATATCTTAAATGAAATAAACAAACGATTCTCCTGTCCATTTCACAAAAAAAAGAAAGAAGGGAAAGTATTATGACATTCAGTATCGTACCAAACGCGAAGAGGGTGTTTTTCACAGTACCTCTACAGACATCGAAGAAAGCTTCATACTACCGCTGCAACTTTAACAATTTCGTTCGTTGATTATTAACCCTTTACTTATCAAGGGCACACCCATGATCCATTTGTAGAAGTATCATAAAAAGATAATGAAGCATGTGATGAAAAATGAATTGCTTTTGAGAGGAAGATAGCTGCTTAAGCTATCGCTTGATAAAAAAAAATTTTCTTTTCCGTCAATTTGGCGAAGAAATTTCAATCACAAACTAAAAAACTTTTGAAAAAATTGAAAAGTTGAAAAAAAATTTCTCAGTTTTTATTTTTTATTAAACGTGTTATTGTAGATTAATGTTTAGTAAAGTGTTCTTTTCCAAGCTTATTTAGTGCACTTTACCTCGCCGTATTCGTAGGTATTTTATTTATTACGAAACGCATTTTAGGTGTTATAAAAACGCCGATTTGCTAGAAATCCTACTTGAAAAGATTTTGGAGAAAACGTTCTCGAGACAAGAATGAAGATCATATCGACCAACTCTCAAGACCTGAGTTTCAACAACTTTGGACCAACGGTGCGCGATAAGTTTCTCGAAACAGGTGTGTTGCATGAGAAAGTTGGTCCAGACAATCTGCATTTGCTGCCATGCTAGGACTTTGTTTCCTGGTCTTGAGGGTTTGTCGATGTGCTCTTCATTTTGTCTGTAGGAAGCTTTCTCCCGAACCTTTGCACGTAGGATTTCTAGAAAATCAGTGTTTTTATAACACCTAAACTGAGTTTTCAGGAAAACGCTGCGCTCAAAAACTGTTTTTGACTTCATATGCGGAATCGGCATGGAAAGGCGAACATTTTGAAAAATCGAGACTCTAACTCAAAATTTAAACTTTTAAATTAAATTTTAAAATTTAAGAACTCACGCTTTTTCATCGCTTGAATTACTTCCTTCAAACAGGCGGTAGAAAGTCGGTTTAAAGACCATTCAATAGAAATCAGAGAACTGAACAGAATTAGGGGTTTGACAAATCTCAGTCCAGTTTTTAAACCGGATTATTTTTCAGAAATAGTTTTCAGAGTTATTCGTCAAAATTTAAATTATCGTATCAAACGCGAAGTTTTAAACATAAACGTCTCATTCAAACGCGTTTGGACAGAGGACACAAAATGTATATGTGCACAAAGTTTCACAATTACATAACGCTTCCGAGAGTCATTGCGACGTTTTTGAGTTTTCTGGCGGATTGGTCCAAAACTGGACTGAACGTCAAACCCCATCGTCTGTTCGGTTTTCTCTTTTCTATTGAATGGCCTTTAAACCGAATTTCTAGTGCTTACTTATTCTACCGCTTACTTACTGCTACAACACAGTTATTTTATTTTTTGACTCATTTTTTGATGGTGAATTCGAGTATATGCAAGTCGAAAAATTACACTGAACGGAAGATACCAAAATCTCAAGTTTTCTCAGAAGGATGCAAATCTTTTGTTCCATTGATGCTCATAGTATTTTGAGGATCTCTCCCCAAAAACTTGATCAAATTCGCAACAAAAGGTGATATTGGAATCAGCTCAGTTAGAGCTATCCGACTATGTGGCTTTCGATCGAAAGTTATGATAGTACCACATTTTTGAAATGCGGGCACCTTACCAAATATACGGTTTTAATCTATTTTATCTAGATTTCGGACGAATTCCCAAAAAGTGCCATATAGTCATGTGGCAGTGTGACAGACATAGATCCACGTGGGTACATCGGTGCGAGTTTTCCGTGAAATCAAAGAAGTGTATTTATCTCTATTCTGACTGGAAGCGCGGATCGAAAGGACGCATCAGCATTGTCTTGTTTTATGGCAAAAATTTGGTTCAGGTATGGTTAGATGCACAATTATTAGTTATTATGGGCGTTAAAAAGGAAGAAATAGTTGCTATGTAACAGACTTTTTATAAGTTTTTTCTCCAAGACTGATGCCAGTTCACTCTAGTCTAATCGTCTGCCTCATTTTTTTTGCAACCTCTTTCGCCCAAATATAATGAATAAAAACTTTCACTTCTTTCGTTTCATTCTTCGCCCCCTTTCTGTATGCATCTAGACATAAGCTCGATATTGAAATATGAAAAAAAAAAAAGGTGAGAAAAAGAAATTTCGCGAGAAGTAAAAAAATATCATCTGAATGCTTTATAAGATATTTTCATGTGTATTTTAGTCATGTGGCAGTGTGACGGACGTGTATCTGCATAGTGAATGGTGAGTGTTTCGAAGGTATGGGGACATGCGTACGTTGAAAAGGCCTGCTCATATTTACAGGGAGTAACGTAAGAGCAAATATAGTACTGCCAGATAACCGCCCTTAACACTACAGTGTCGTAGAATTGTCTTACAAGTTACTTTGAAGAAAAATCTTTTAGTGTAGAGTAGAAACGAACGCACTTGTTCTGTATCTTCTCTGAACTCGCTGAACTAAAGGTGTAGACTTTACAGTCAACGGAGCGCGTGCACACTTGTGTTCACGTTGTTTATTTACATATAACTCGTTGTGTATTTGGATTAGCTAATATTCGTTTCGAGGATTTTAATATAGACGTTGTTCAACATAATTATGATATGACAACGGTCATCTAAGTCTTAGTTAACTGTTTATACCATAACTTTACGTTTACTCCCAAAGGAAATTTTTGACGTCTCTCCTCTTTTCAGACTTTCGAAAAGAATTTTTGTTGTAAAGGATAGAACACGAGAAAGTATAAGAATATTGAAAGAGAATATTATGCTAAAGAGCCGGGATCCATTTTTTCATTTATGTTGTTATCAACTATGTTTGTTTGATACGTGTGTATGTATGTTTGAATATTGGAGAGTTCACATAGTCTATTTCTTCGTTTCAAATAATTTACATGCTCACGTATGACCAAATGAAAGAGAAAGAAAAAAGACAACGACAGCATGTTTCAACGTGGGTAGACTACATAATAGAGCTGCGAAAAATAGCGTTTTCTTTTCTTTTCTTTTTTTCTTTTCTATTTTCTTTTCTTATTCACGTTATATATTGTGTGTGCTCACGTTGCAATGTACGGTACACATATATAACATACATTAAGACTGTTGTCTGTGTAGAGTGATGTCACGTTTCTTTCTTTTCCTTAGTGT